GGAAGGCATGACCTCGTGTCACGGGAGGGAAAATGGCCACGGATCCTGTTCGTCACCCGATCCGGCGTTCGCGAACTGAGGCAAAATTTTGCGAACGGAGCTGTTCGTGAACAGAAGCGTTCGTGAACCGAGGTATTACTGTATAAGCACAGTTATAGCCAGCTCAAGTCTGCCAGCTAGATTTGCAATTTATCCACAAAACCAAAATGTCTGTTAGCAAAACTTTTATTATGCTGCTGGTGATAATTTGTGGGTGGTCCTTAGCTTGATAAAAATAATCATTTCATGTATGAAAATATCTGGGTGAACAGGGTCAGAAAATACTTGTTTATTCTCAGATAAAGGTTTCTGTCACTTCCCTTGAAAGTGCTGCTCCTCCCATTATTAGATGATGTTGCAGTTTTAGAAACAAAAAATTACTGCTGCAAATGTTTATAAAGCTGTTGTGGTCACTTATCTATTAAAGTGATAATCGCTAGCTTTTGCTGTATAAATTATAGATAATCTGGCTTTCAGGAGTTATGATATTAAAGATCTACCTAGACTTAATTTTGTGCAAAGATCAGTTTTGAACTTGAGCTGATGAAGCAGTTCCTCTAGAGATACTAAGCATGATACATTCTACATCTATATTTGTTAATAGTGCTTACACAGTGTTTCTTTAGAATTCACTAATTGTTTAGGTTCATACAATGTGCTTGTTTGGTTTAACAATCCATGAACCTAGCCACTTCATCTTAAAAACCATGGCTTATGCTTATTTTTAAACCAGAATTCAATAGCTTGTTCCAAAAATTATGATTAAAACATGGCCTGGTATGATATATGAACACAGGACTGTAATCATGTTTAGCCACAGTTCATTGAAGAAGAACACTTGTAATTTATTGAATGAACTGCGGTTGACAAAATCTTAGCATAATGTATGACACCTAGAGTGTTATGGTCAAATTCTTTGTGACTTGGTTCATAATTTCACATTAAACTATAATATGATATGCTTGTTGAATGGTGAACCCATTCATGCTTTATTGTTTAGTGTAATGCCAATCCAGCCTATGCATATTAACTTTCTTTCAGTTTAGTACTTAGTATATACACTTCTCATACCAGTAGGCAACAAGTAAACTTGTAGTAAACTTCGAATAGTTTAACTTAGCAGCTATTGCTATTTCAAAAAGACATGCTTTATGCTTATCTGCTTGTCCCAATAAGATTCTTATAAATAATGTTTATAGTTGGAGAATACCGGAGAAGATCTCAAGGATGGGGTGTGTCGTTATGAAGGAGCTGTTGTAATACTCGATGCTGGAGCTCAGTATGGAAAAGTCATAGATCGCCGGGTCAGAGAACTGTTTGTCCAGTCAGAGATCTTTCCTTTGGAAACACCTGCTTTTGCAATTAAAGAACAAGGATTCCGGTAAGATTGATTCTTGTATTAGTTTTATGTATGCTTTACCAACTGTTTTGTTTCATCTGTCAGGCCAGAAAATTACAGCTTACAGCCTTGAACTGTTAAAGACTGACTAATCTACAGAAGACTGCACTTGAGCTTTTAAGTGGTATGCAGGAACCTAGACTCTCCAAAGTCAGTAAGACTAGAAAAGAGAAGTAGCCAGATCCCGGTCATACCAGGGGCCATTTAGTTCCATTTAAATGAAAAGTGTAAATTACATTAATTCAGTGTAGTCCCATATATTTATCTATTTCCTATTGCATCACACTGAAATTAGTGGCAAATTTTAGAAGGGATTTAAGGAATGCACCCAAGATTTTAGGGATTCACATGCTGCTCTATAACTTTATAACGTTAGCCAGCACACTCCTGATTTTTATATTCGAGAAAATGCATGTGGTATATATCCCAGGCTATATGAACTGTGCTGGATCAAACTGAAGGCTTGTCTAGTTCAACATTCTGCTGTCAAGGTAAGTTGGCTGTGACATTTGAGTAATCTAGATAATTACCTCTTAAAAGAGGGAATGAAAAAGAGGACTCTCAAAAACCAGCCTAAGAGACATGCTCCTAAAGTGTTATTCCAAAATGAAAAGCCCCATAATTTGTTTATAAGACTCTTGGCCCTGTGGGCCTATAAAAATTTGATGTATCAAGTGAATGGCAACTCAAGAGGTAGTTTGGGGCCAACTAGTGATAGGATTCATGGTTTGGGTTCTTTTCAGTTCAGAAGCCTTGTGTGCATTCTATTAAGTATTGCCTGAAAACATTGAGATGAGAAGCAGAGACTGGGTGGAGCTGAAAGATCAAGCTGAGTATCATCGACATGCTGAAATCAGTTGAATTCTATCAACTGAAATATTTTATGTCATTTTGTTTTAATGTTATTAATACATACAAACATACTCATCTTGTGATTCCCTACTAGGTAAGTAACATTATGCGGAGTATGGGAAAGGAGTAAGAAATAATAAGCCAAAACAATTAAAGGCATAAAAGTATGAAAATGGACAGAGCTAAAACTAAGTTACACTAGTAACTTTCACTATACTTCATACTTTCTATCCTTACAAACTCTCCTTGCTTCCACCATATCCATACATTGCTTCTTTTGTTTTTTAACAAAACAGTCAAAAGTTTTTGACTTTCTCTTTAAAATCTCTTCAGCGTCATCCAAATACAGCTTTCTCAGTCTTCTCTCTTTCTCTCAAGCCAATCACCCTTCATACAGTTATTTTGTAATCAGATGCTCATTCTCTGTATTATCAAACCTTTCCAAAGTACTTCTTACAACCTGATCACTCACCTTTTTATTAAATCAACATTCATTCAGCACCCATTCATTCTTGAATTCTCAGTTATATGAAAGGAAGCTATAGGGAAGATTGTTTTTTCCATGGCCAAAGAAGCTAGGAACAGAAATAACAGGAATAAGTTGCAGCTACCTAGATTTCATATAAATATAGGGGAGAACTTCCTGATGGTAAGATCTGTACAACAGCGGAACAGTCTACTTTTGGAGACTCTGGGTTCTTCATCTCTGGAAGTTTTTAGGAAGAGGCTGGATTCCCACCTCTCATGGATGGTACAATTTTCCTGCACAGTGCAGAGCGTTGGTCTAGATCAGGCCAGAACAGCTCTTAGAGGGGAAAGGACATTTGCTACATTAAAAATAATTGCAGGTCACAAAGGAATAGCTGGTGCGCCAATCAGCTGTTTGGTGGCTGGTGGCAGGGCAGCAGTGATGTAGCTACCAGTGTTGGTGAGGCCTGGAGTCATTGCAGGTGCCCTACAGCGTGTCTTTCAGGGCAGAGGTGGCAACAAAAAACTATATAGCATATCCTTCCTGATGGCAGTGACATTTGACGGCAGTGGAATTTGTTTGAGTTTTTAAAAAATGCCTGCAGGATGAACAAGGCTGCTTAGCGGGTTGCATGTTGTCCAGGCCTGCTCTAGATGATCCATGTGGTCCCTTCTATGATTGTATGAACCTGTCTCTTCTTCTTTTACCACATATACTTCTAAGCATCCATTCCCATTGCATTCAACTCACTCTTCCTCTCACTTTCCTTTAACAAAGTGTGTGAAACATTCTCTTATCAGAGCTGTTTTCATTTCTTTCAACATTCATTCCTTACCACAGACCACATATTACCCACTAAATGCATACCAGCATTTGCTCATCTTAAACATTTCTCCGTCCTTTCCCTCATCTTTAATTAACATTTTACCAAGGCACCCAAATCCATCTAACTTCTTTAGTACTTGAACATCAAAGACCCCGTGAATGAATACAATTGCTGATAAAGTTTGCGTATACAGGATAACAGCTGGCCTTCAAGCACGTTCACTGTTTGTCCTGCAGGACAGAATGCTATAGTAAATACAATGGGAGCAAAATATAACATTTATTTATTTATCAAAGTTACACGCCGCCCATCTCACCATATAAGTGACTCTAGGCAGCTTACAAGCTTACAACGTTTATTTTTCCCTAAGTGCTGGCGCAGTCTTCTAAAAGTTGGTCTCTGTGCGCAAAATAAAATTTCTATTGGACCGGAAGACTCTTCCCTTTGAATGGTAGAAGTAGACCATACATATTTTGTCCTTCAGTAAAGTATAAAATGGTTCATGAAGTTTTAAATTGGGGTGGCAGGAACAGTTATCTGTTTTCTCTGCATGGTTGCCTTGAATATGCAGCCTCCTATAGTCTTAGCAGGAGCAAATATTGGTAAGTAACTGTTGCTTTATCATGGCAAAAAACAGGCTTCCCATGACAATACAAGCCTTCAGGGTTACATAAAATGGGAACAGGTTACCCAGATTCAAAGGAAACAAGGATGAGTAGGCTAGTCCTGCTTTCTTATATCACCCTTCACATGTGCAGACTGACTATCTGTAGTAGAGGGCTCTGTTTATAGAGGCTCTCAAGGCAATTGATCTTTGAGGGTCCTCAATTATCTGAAGAGCCTCCAAGGATACAAGAGATGTTTTAGCGTAGTTTTGTTGAATTCAGGGAGGTCAATATGAGGAATAGAGGCCTTTGTACTTCTCCCCCTGCCCCCAAACACAGGTAGTTTGTCTCCACTTTACAGTGTAAAGTACCTGAAGAGGGCTGTTGTCTTCCCTACACTGGTTCAAGTTTGTTTTTACCAGATAAAGAGTTTAACGTTGGCAAGCATGGGTTGGTGCATTTTGTTTCTTTGATTTGAAAGCTATGTTATATAAAAAGGAAGATGATACAATCTGTATAGATGTATGTTTGCTCTCCTAAGGGAATATTTATGTTGCTTTTCAGTTCCATTAGTGAGTGGGTATAATCACTGACTTGTTCAAGTCTAATGGAAAAGCAACATTAGTATAGTCGCTGGCCATAGCTTACATAAATATAAACTATGGTCAGTGCATATGTTAAAGTATACATCATAATAATGCAGTGCATTGACCACAGCTTGTGGCTTAGTGTGAACATATAAAGTCATGCCAGCTAGCTCCTCTCCTCTCTAAACTGTGTAGCCTGAAAATAATTCTGCTACATTGTTTGAAGGATCTTTCTCATATGGTGGGTGTATTGGAGATTTTGAGAACATGATGTGAGGACTTTCAGAGAATCGTTGCTGGGTGCTTGCCAATTCATGGAATGCCTATCAGCAATTACAAAGCAGATTTATCAGAATAATACCTGTCACCCTCCTCTAACCCTCCTCTTTCAGGATGTTTTCTATGATCCCTGCCTATCCTTACATTTATATGGAGAAATAGGCATATTTGCAAATAAATCAGCTATCCTTCCCCCTTTTAAAAAAAAAAAAATTCCAAGAAAGCTTATGGGGCTCATTTGAAGAGAATGGTGATGCTGGAGGATAGTACAGCTTGCCAACTTGTCATTTAAAACAAAAGAAAAGTATAAGTCAACTGGGGCAGGGAGACTGGTAGACTCCAGAGGGAATATCTATGGTCACATTGGTGCTGCTGGGTGACCTACTAAGGTCCTGAGTTTAGAGTATCATCTGCATGTCACTTCCATCTGCCACTATCTAGATAAACAAATCTAAAATAACTTGTCTGTTAGTTATTTAGTTTGTTTTTTTAGTTAGTGAAGCTAAAAACCATGGTCAGAGGACATGTTAAACAGGAGCAGGCAACTTGGTACCCTCCATATATTTTGGGCTACAGCCCCCCAAATCACTTGTCACTAGCTATCCAGAACAGTTACAAACTATCTAACACAGGATTTATTCACTTGGCACACAACTTGTGCTGATGTTGCTGTTGCCTTCATCTTCAATTACATTTTCATCTTTTTGGAAAGAATCATATTAAAAACATGTAGAGCTTCACTGGTAAATCACGTGCACGTCCATTCAAGTTTCTTTATATTCATCGCTGGAGAACTGTGTCCTCTCTTTGTTTCTAGTGGTCTGTATGGCTAGGTTACATACGTCACTAAGCATGGTTCATTTGGTTTTTATTCAGTGGGTTGTCAGACCCCAACCATTGTGATTTGAAAACCATGGTTTATGGCATAGAGCAAAATGTCCAACTAGTTAGTTGTGATTTATTTAAAAAGCTGTTATCAGAATCTTGCCTTAGTGTGAGGTGTGAACCCAGCCAGTGATGATATCCAACTGCATTGTTGTATGCCTCCCTTGATGAGATTAAGTTGCTGGAGTAGTACTCTGTGTACAGATGGGCAGAAGATCCTAGCAGAAAGCAAGGATCAGTATGGGAACTGCCACAAACCAGCAGTAAGGGTGTTGTTCTTGGTAATGTATGCATTTAGTCTTTAATCTCCGGAATAGTAGTCTTGTGCTTGAAGCTTTTTTACTATGGGAAAAAGTAAACCCCAGTTGAAAGAAATTATAGGCTTCTGAAATTATCCAAATCTTTGTTTATTTAACTGCATTGGATAGTTAGCCCATCCATCCTACTAAACTTCACCTGGATCCAAAAGAAAATAATGCCAGGAAATATCCATTGTTTCACAAGTGAAAATGCCGTACTGAAAACTCATCCGCAGTCCCAAAAATGTTGCAACACTGAAATATAATATTGGAATTATCTTTCTCATTCTTTCTGACAGGACATAAAGTCCAGATAAGAATCTCTGGAAGTACTTCAAATTTTAAAAGATTTACTAAGCTAACGGAAAGTGTTTTATAATTTGGTCTTCACTGTAAAACCTATGGTTGTTTTATTTCTTTTTATATTAGTAATTTTTTGGGGGGGGGGAATTCATCATATCCTCATTTTGATGTTCAGTAGCTGTGAATAATCCAGTAGTAATGTATGGCTGTGAGAGCTGGACCATAAAGAAGGC